TTAAAAAATTACCACCACAATTAGATGCTGATGACCGATGAGTTGGACTTACATTCTTTTTATAACCACAACACCCACACAGTAAACCAAGAGCCATTAAAACAAAAATAAATCCAACAACAGATGAAATTCCAATGTAAACATAATACCTACAAAAAAACATCATTAAATCTCATTTTTAAATATAGATAAATCGTTTACTTTAACTTAAATTAACTGAGAAATAATTAAAGACTCCACACCTGTAGTTTTCATATTTAAATGCTTCAGAATTGGACCGAAAGTAATTGTTTTCAAAAGTGAGTAATTTTGATTTTGTAGTGCTGATTGTCTAAACAAAAAATATCTTTTTTTTTAAAGTTTTGTAAAATTTTAATTTTTAAATGTAAAAAATTAGTATTGTATATAAACATATATAATTAAAAAAAAATCTTTTACATTTGTAATGTTTCCATTAATCTGGTAGAGCATGTCTTGCACTTGATCTTCAGTTTTACTTATTAATTGAATTAAATCTAAAAAATGAAATTATGTAGAAGTTTAACTATCCAAGGAAGAAAACTTAATATAAATAAAAATACAAATAAAATAAATTAAAAACACTAAAAAACTTTTAAAAAATATTAGTAACTTTCGAAACTAAAATAAATAAATAAACCATGTATTGTCAAAAATAAACCATGCTTTGTATTGTCAAAAATAAACCATGGTTTGTTTTGTCAAAAATAAACCATGGTTAGTTAAGAGATGTTATTATTTCACAGAAATAACATTTATAAAAATATAAATAGGAGTATATTTATAAAAACATGCTATACCAACTATTACTGTTAGCTTTTTTCCTATTTTCTGTATTTGTCATATAAAATGTTTTATTTATTAATAAAGTTCCTGGTAGGTCAAAAGACCACATATAAAGTTTATGTAACTTTATATTTGTGTGTTTGTAATCATGGTCGAAAATGGCAATAAAATATTGAACATATTTACAAGGATTAGTATATTTAGTGTTCAACTTCATTGCTGAACCATAAATGATTCAAAATAGCGTCAGACTTGATTAAACATCATCTCATTTTATGCTTCAACTGTCAAAATATACCCTAATAACTGAATACCTTTCAAAGTATACCTTGATAGTCAAATACCTGTCTAAACATAACTTGACATTCAAATATTTGAATATATAAAAGATATTTTGAAAATCTTTTAATATTTTGGTAACAAGTCTAAATCAGCTTTTTGGTAATTTCAAAACTGATTTAAAATTGTTAGTTTAAAATAGCAATTGGAAGACCAAAATTTTAAATAACTGGAGCAGGGAATCAAAAGTAATCTAACCATTGATAAATAGATGCCAATGTCAAATTAAACAAGTTACAAAAGAAGGTCACATAAAAAAATAATAACACATTTTATTTAATATTTTAAATAACTTAAAACTTTTTTTTTTTAATGGTTTATTTGTTAAAAATTTTGAAAAATGTTTTTTATATTTTTAAGGTTTTATATAGAGGTGTACCGGATACTTTTGCTGGATATGCTGGATATTGAACTTTTCTAAAGTTTTATAACTGTTTATGAAGAAAAAATAAGTCTTGCCAGTCTACAATAAATAGTATTCAAGACCTTACTTTAAAAAATCAAGAAAAAAACTGTATTACATGGGATATGTGCTGACGAAAGTATAGAAAATAGTAATTAAAAAAAACAAAAATTTGGCTGTAAATACAATTTTTCCTTGTACATTATTAACGCATATACCTGAATTATACCAGTTTTTTCTTTGTTTTATTTTTTTAAATCTTGAGCACTATTTAATGTAGAATGGAAAAACTTGTTTTTTCCTCATAAACACTTATAGAACTTTAGAAACGTTCAATATCTGGCATATCCGGCAAAAATATCCGGTACACCTCTAGTTTTATATTTAAAGGTTACTTATGAGGTGTTAAAATAATTTATTAAAATTAATTTAAAAATGCTTTCTTTGTATGTGTATGTGTGTGTGTATATATATATATATATATATATACACAAACAATTCATACACAATTTCCTAATATCATTTTTGTTCTAAAAACGTGCACTTTAATTTTTTAGAAAAAGAAGAAAAAAATGAAAAATAATAAAAGAAAAGATTGCTGTCCCATGCTAAACTTAGTCAATGAAGCAGCTTTCCTTTGCAATAACAGAGTGTAAGAGTGTCTCAAATATATATATATATATATATATATATATATATATATATATATATATATATATATATATATATATATATATATATATATATATATATATATCTTGCATTAAATTTTAATATGTGGAATACTGCATTTGGCATCATTCTTTCCATAAATACAAACAAACAAAAAATTAAGTCTCTAGCCCAAATAAGTATTTTTTTTAGGAAAATTTACTTTTATTTAAAAATAAATAAATTTTGACATGAAACTAATTTTTATCTATGTCATATCTAATTTTTAGTTTCTTTTTAGTGTCATATTTAACTATGCGTGATAATAAAAGTCCAGAAAAAACAAAAAAGAAGGCAAACAGAGTGACAGCTGCTTGCCTTTAGTTATGTATGGAAGAGATTTGTTATAACTGGATTAGACTTATGACCAGAGTTAAATTCACACTAGATACATGTCTTTTGACTTCTCTTTAAAAAGCTGAAGGAGTTGACATTGATAAAATCTACAAATCAATGAATATGCAAACATTTAGCATAAAATTGACAGAAAACAACTGCTGCATTTGCAAACTTTTATTTTCAAATATTGATGCTTGCTTAAAAATTAAAAAAAAAAAAATTCAGTACTTTATCATTTTGTTAGAAATTTAAATAAAACATTAGTTTTGCCAATTTTATTTCAACTATTGATTTGGAATTAATAAAATATTTGTTTTTTCCATTTATTTTAATTGCTTTATTTAAAATTAAAAGGTTTTTACTTTAAATTTAAATAGAACATTTGTTTTGCAAATTTATTATAAGGAATTTAAATAAAACTTTCACTTTTCATTTTTATTTTTATCATTTTACTTAGAATTGCCCACACCAATCTAATAATGCTTGCAGTAAATTACAAGTGGTGAAAACTTTTTGCATTCTCAAATCAAAACTAGAAAGAAAATAATCAAAAAAATTATTTAACTTGATAAAAAAAAATTGTAAAAAAAGGATAAGTTAAACAATGGCTAAAAATTACAGATTATCCTAAAATTATTAATTGGATTTTTTTTAAGATGTAGAGTACCGTCAATTTCAAGGTCAAAGATGATGGACTCCTTAGGCTCCAACTCTGGAATATTTTTTTTATTATTTTAATTTAAACATTCTGATTCTATTATCTGTAGTTTGCTAAAAATGCAAAAGTTACTTTTCCGTAGTTGCTATATTATGAAAATTAATAAGAATAATAGAAGTCTAAAAAAAAATTTTTGATGCTGAGATAATATAAATATCTAAATAGTACAAAAGAATGTACTTTGAATGTATAGATAAAAAATCCAGTAAAAAAAAATATGAAAGAATGTACTTTAAATGTATAAAATGAGATAAGAAATCCAGTGAAAAAGAATGAAAGAATGTAATTTGAATAAGTGATAATTGAGCTTACTGGCAATGTAGGATACTTCTAATCCCAATGCAACTCCTAATGAAGTCAAGCTCAAAAGAAAAATCAAATATGAGCCAAAACTATTAGTTTGGATAATCTTGTCAGAGAAAGGGGTCTTAAAGCATTACATCACTCTTTGGAGTCAAGACCTGATCTAGCCTCCGCACACAATTCAAACAAAGTAAAATATTACCTAAAAATATTGAATATGTGCCAAGAGACATAAGCCCTGCTAATGTGCCCGAATTGCGGCCAATCAAGGATTTTCGAAGTGAAATTAAAAGATTGGTGTATGAAGACAATTGGCAAGCTAAAAATCTCTGCGAAATAAGAAATTGAATTTTTCTAAGAAATTGAATAGAGTATGAGTATGTATGTATTGTATGAAAAAAATCAAAATTGATAAACAAATTATTTTTATTCTATTTTGTAAAATACAACTTTTTTGTTAGTTTGCTTTTTGAATTTAAAAATTTGATAACTCCATTCAAGAGATATTCATTTTCAAAGTTTGTTTGGATTATTAGTTGTAACGTGTTAAACAAAGAACAAATATAATAAAAAATGTTGACAAAATATATACAAACCTACACACAAACATATACACAAATATATATAATAAAATTCATCATACAAAAAGAGTAACAGGCAGAAAGAATAGAGTGTACTAATGTAGATGAAATCCATCCTTAGGGCCAGAATAGATTTACAACGAAGAACCTGATAAAAAAAACTAGCATAACTTGTCAGGAATGCTTCATTGTAATCTTTGCCTTTTTGTGTATTATTATATGTGTGTGTTAGTTTGTCATGTAGTTGCTGGATAATGAGAATTAATAAGAATAATAGTCATTTAAAAAAATAATAGATAAAACAATACACGTAATAACTTTTTTCAATCAAATTTTTAAATCAACAAATATTATATTGAACTAAAATAATAGCTTTTTTGAAAGTATTATATTCATTCATTTTGAAAGTATTTTATTGAGTAATTCATTTTGAAAGTATTTTATTCATTCATTTTGAAAGTATTTTATTCATTCATTTTGAAAGTATTTTATTCATTCATTTTGAAAGTATTTTATTCATTCATTTTGAAAGTATTTTATTCATTCATTTTGAAAGTATTTTATTGAGTCATTCATTTTGAAAGTATTTTATTGAGTCATTCATTTTGAAAGAAAACTTGCGCTTAACAGGGCATTGAATGCTGCATGAATAGAATGAAACAGCATTGAATGCTGCATAAAACCACTGATTTGTGAAACACTTTTTTCAAATGCAAATATGTTATTAAAACTATTTTATACAACTTTATATGCTATAATTTCCACAATTTTTGAAAAGTTGTAATTTCCACAATTTTTGAAAAGTTTGTGTTATCACAAGTTAAAAAAATAATTTTCTCCAGTTTTAACTGTTTTTTCATCCAAAATTATGAAAATATCAAAATGTAGATAATTTTTAAGTCAAATTTTCTAATGCAATTTAACTTTTCTTATCTAAATTTCTTCTTATGTAGAATTAATTACTAGGAAAAATGGTGACACACAGACATTAAATGTTTGCTAAAATAATAAAAAAAAGTTGTCAAAAATTTAAAAATACAAAAATGCGAAGACTAAACCCAACTTAAAAAAAAAATCAAAATTAAATTTAGCATCTTTTCAAAAAATAATTCCCTGATATATTTAAAATGATTAGCATGATGACCATCTATAGTAAATTTGATGAAAAGAAATTTTGAATTAATCTAGTGGGCATTAATAGAAATTTTGAATTAATCTAGTGATGAAAGGAAATTTTGAATTAAACTCTGTGGGCATCTGCAACCATATAAAATGACTTTAATGTACTTTTTAATGTCAACATTCTTCTTAAAATTTATCAGAAAAAGTTTATCTCCAGGTTAAACTTTTCAAACAATTTAAAAATATGCATATTAGAAAACTCTAAACTGAAGCCAAATCAGGCCATATAAATTTTTTATTTTACAAAAATAATTGAATACTAAATCTGACACACAAAAAACAGGGTTACAAAAACCATTTTATCTCACTTACATAAATATCTGTTGCATATACTTATGATCAGACTGAATTTTTTATCTTATAGTTTAAAATAAAAGAAAAAGAGTATTCTAGTTACCTGATCTTGCACTCTTTGATTTGTTAACTACAGTGTTTGAAATGTCTTCTATTTTCATTATTGTCTGAATATAAAAAATAAAATAAAATATAACAGCCTAAAATAAACATGTTGGTAAATAAAATATAACAGCCTAAAATAAACATGTTGGTAAATAAAATATAACAGCCTAAAATAAACATGTTGGTAAATAAAATATAACAGCCTAAAATAAACATGTTAGTAAATAAAATATAACAGCCTAAAATAAACATGTTTGTAAATAAAATATAACAGCCTAAAATAAACATGTTAGTAAATAAAATATAACAGCCTAAAATAAACATGTAAATAAACATGACAAACTTATCATACAGATTTTATGTTTTCTGTCATATCGAAACTTGTTGCAGATTTAAAAGTCTTTAATTGGTCAGATAAATCCGGAAATGAAGTGAAATCGACATTACTTGAAACTACAGTTGAGTTGATACTATCGCATGTTTCCTTTGGTATTGACCCATTATTTATGCAATCATTAGCTATATCATCTAATTCTTTTTTAATCTGTTTCAATCCATTCTTTAAATCGTCAGCATCTTCATTTAATGATATATTTAAAAAATTAATGCTCTGCAAAAACCCATATATATTTGATACATCTAAAAATTAAAAAAAAAATTAGTCTTAATTTAGGCAAAAACTTATATACTTATTTTCTGCTAAAGTCTACTGAAAAGGGGAAGGAGGGGGGGAGGGGTGTACCACCACCCAGATTTTTTTTCTAGAATAGGCCCTGTATATATATATATATACATATATGTATATATATACATATATGTATATATATACATATATGTATATATATACATATATGTATATATATATATATACATATATGTATATATATACATATATGTATATATACATATATGTATATATATACATATATGTATATATATATATACATATATGTATATATATGTGTATATATATATATATATATGTGGGGTGTACCGCCACCCAAATTATTTTTCTAGAATAGGCCCTGTATGTATGTATGTATGTATATATATATATATATATATATATATATATATATATATATATATGTATATATATATATATATATATATATATATATACATATATATATACATATATATATATACATATATGTATATATATACATATATGTATATATATATACATATATGTATATATATACATATATGTATATATATACATATATATCTGGACATATATGTATATATATACATATATGTATATATATGTATATATATACATATATGTATATATATATCAAGAATTTATCTGGAGACAAAATCAAGTATCGGCTAAGTTGAATTACTGATTGAAGGCTAAACATAAATCCAATGAAGCCAGTTTTTAGGTTTGTTCTATAAATTAAGTTATCAGCACTGTCTGTCAAACTGGATAAGTACTGACATACTATATTGACAAAATTTGTACATTGTTCCAAATTTCTTAAAGAGATAGGAGCTTTACAATTTTTACCAATAAAATTCCGACTGTTTAATAAATCAAAACTTTTGTCTATAAGATGAATAAAATTGATAATTGGTCCACTATCTTGAAACTCTTTTAATTTTAACTTTTTTGCACAAAAATCAAAGAGCATCACTTTGACTAAAGGTTTGGTTTCAGATTTCACTATAGTCAGCACCAAGAATTTTCATCATAGATAAATTTGCAGCTGTACCATCGAAAGTTAAAGAAATAACTTGAACTTCAGTTTCATGAACTTTGACAAGACATTCAGAAATAATGTTTGCTTTCTCTTTTGAATTAAGTCCATCTGTTAAGAAATAGGCTATTGGGATCCTCCAATGTCCATTAACAGCAACTAACAACAAAACAAAAACTTCTTTAGCAACACCAACACTGTCATGGTTAAATCCTGTTCCAAAATTAACAAAGCCATAGGATTTATGCCCATCCCAATCCATTTGCTTTCGAATTGACATTTCATCCATCATCAAACTGCATACAATTTTTTTGTTAGATTCATTATTTTTCAATTTTAAAATTTGGAATGCTTCATGAGTAAAGCTTGGCTGTTCATTATTACTACTATACCATTTTCTCAAAGTGTCTGGGTGAGGAAGACAAGTGTTGAAGGACTGTTTAACATAATCATATGCTTTTGCTGAATAATAATGCTATGTTAATGCAAAAGTTCACAATGACGGAGAGTACATTAATTTCCTTTTGGATTTTTCATCTTTTAATCTTTCATCAAATCATCTTTTTTTCATAAATATGCTCAAAAACATGTATCATTTTTTTCTTTTTGTTGGTGCTTTTAAAATTTTACAAGGTGGGGGGGGGGGGGTATGTACATATTTTTTGCCTACTAAGGACAAAAAAAAAAATCTTGGCTACTACAGTCAAGGAGGCTACTTTAGTTTTGGTTACAACCATCTCTTAACTCTAAAACTCCAAAACACAATATATTTACATGTATATATATATATATATATATATATATATATATATATATATATATATATATATATATATACATATATATATATATATATATATATATATATATATATATATATATATATATATATATATATATATATATATTATAATAATATATAACAAATAACATAAAAACTTACTCTGACTTAAACTATAAGAAATATTTATAGTATCACTAAGATTGCTTAGAACACTTTGATACAAAGGATTTCCAATAAGTTTTTTTACGCCATCATCACCTATGTCTTGCTTATCAAGATATGTTATGCATGGAATTTGATCAGAGATTTCAATTATTTGCTATTAAAAAAAAGAAATAGTGACCCAATAAATACTATGTATAATATAAATTTTCAATTTCAAAAGTAACAAACAATATTACAAAAAAAATTTCTTTATTAAAACACATTTAGATGCAGCTAGATAAGTAAGATTTAAAAAAACAAAGATATGTAATAATCAAGCTGGAAACAAGAAAATTTCCATTAAAATTTTACTCAAAATCTTAAAACTATATATAGATTTATATATGTAAAGGTTTAATAAAAAAAGTTGTTGGTAGTTATTTACACTATAAATTAATTTATTGATAAGTTAATTTTTTATTAATAAGTTTTTATATATGTTGTAGCACTATTTCATTTCTTTAGTGACAATTGCTGGGCCTATTTTTACTGGTCTGAATTAATATTGCAACCTAAGGGCTTATTTTAACCCATAAAAAAAGCATCATAAAAAAGTCAATAAGGCATCAAAAATTTTATATTTTGATTGTTATTTTATGTATTATTGTGCTTGGTACAATTTAGAAATCACTTTCTTCTATTTTAAAATATTTTTTATCATACTTAACTGTTTTAACTTTTAGACAGTGAACCAAATAAAGCGTGAAAATATTACTTATGTTTAATCTACAAACAAGAGAAATTATTTAGTCCTCAATTGATCTAATGAAAGTTTTATTCCATCAACTGCGGATTTTATATAAATTGAATTTATATAAAGATGGCTAGGAGGCATATGAGTATATTTATTTGGTATGGGGTAGCAACCTACATGTTAAATATAATACTTAATATAATAATAACATTTGTTTAGTGATAGCAATACTAAACATTACTTAAATGTGTTTTTGTTTCATTCAAGATTTGATAATTACATTATAAAAAAAAACCAATAACTTAATTTTCATTATCAATGTAAACTAAATTAATGTATTATTCTTTCAGTGACAGCCAACCAAAGAAACAAACAAGAAATCTCAATATGTGGATAAGAATTTGCACAAAAAAAAGAGAGTCTAAACAATCTTATATAAATTCACGAGGAATGGAAATTTTAGAAAGAAAACCTGCTAAATAAAGTACAAACTTCCACAAATATTGATGGTCAATAAATAAACAGTCTTTCATCCATCTATTGAATTCTGTTGTTGGCTCATCTAATGATGCACTTTCTTATCAAGACAAGATCCAAAAATGCATTGAAAAAGTAGTTTGTCTTGCTCTACCAAGGTTGAGCCCCTCCCCCATTATTATAAGGTTGCATCTCTTCTCTTTTCTCTTTTAAATACTATCATGGTTACTGCTCAATGGAGCAATCATCTCTAGTACCATCAATCAAAACTTATTCTCGCTTGACTAGTCATTAAGCCAAGTCACATCCTTTTAATTTATCTGTCCATGCATGCTCTAAAACCTTTTATTTGTCTAGTTTTTTTCCCATATTTCAACCCTTTTGGAACTCTCTCCCATCTTCATGTTTACCTGACTCATACAACCTGCAACTTTTCATGTTTTCTGTCAATCATTTTTTTGCTCTTTGTTTTCTAATAACTCCCAAATTAACATTGTTTGATTGCAGCATTGTTGGAAGTGAATTAGAAGTTGAAAAAAAATGAAAAGTTGAAACTTTCATTTCTTTTATTTGTATAGTTTTTTTCACTCCAATCTTTTTTTTATTTTGAGGAAGAAAAAAAGGTTTCCTTGCAGTTATTCTGCTACCAAGTCCTGCTTCAATCATTCAACCTCTTCACCCTTGTCACAGATACTGGAGTTCCTCAAGAACAATTCAAAGTATAGGTTAATTCTAGATTTTTTTAGTAGGGTTGTATTCTGTTTTAAGTATTAGATTTTAGTATTCTTCTGCCTTCAGCAGCAGATACAATTCAAACCTGATTGTTTTAGATTGACCACACTTCCAATTTCTTTCTTTTTATAATATCTTTATCTGTTGAACATTACCAATTTTTTCTTTTTATAATATCTTTATCTGTTGAATTAAAAATCTTAAATTTTTTGGCTATTAGACCAACAGAAGATTTTTTATTAATGTAAATATTGTTTTTCTACAGTCAACTCTCTTTTTCTGACCATTTATCATTTAAAAATATCAATATAAAAATATCAATATACATCAGGGTCTATTCTAGGGAAAAAATTTGGGCGGCGGTGCCCCTCTGTCCCGGAGAAATTTAATTTTTTTGCAAAAAAAAAAAACAAACAATATTTGCAGTAAAAAACGCAAAAAAAAAAAAGGTCCTCAAATTTTAATTTGAGCGGCGATCAAATATGATCAACGCTGTCAAAAACAGTCTAGAATAGCCCCTGTATATACAATCTATTAACAATATATATAAGTTATATTTAATGTTACATAAATATAAAATTATAAAATAGTTAAAGCAATATTTTACAACGAAATGACCTACCTGGCATTTTCTGACCGGGTCTGAGTATTTTTAACATGATAATACCACTAGCAAGATTACTATCCAAAGTTTACAAGTGCTTTCTACCCTTAACTAGAACTAATTTGGGGTTTTGTATCAGAGTTTTATCTTTTCCTAAGTAAGTTTCTTTAACAGTGATAAAGAACCTCACCTACCCTAATATAGGATTAGCTTAATATCACGGCCAGGATTTTAGTAATAAGATCAAAATAATAATAAAAAATGCAGCACTTAAAACATGTAAAACAAAAAGCACTTACATCAATAGTGGCATTAGCAAACTGAATAGCTTCATTAATGGCCTGGTTATATACAGTTGAAATATTTTTTGCTGATTCATTGATTCTGTTATTTGTTACAAACATGAAAAGTATACCACATCTATTTTTTAAAAAAATTTGCTTAAATTATTTTTTTCACAAACAGAAGCTGAAATTTTAATAATTAAGTAAAGTATCTTATGTAAATTCTATAAAATTAAATGTCCAATCAGTTGTGGTATAGTGGTGATAAGGTAGTGGTTGTGGTGTAGTAGTGGTGCGGTAGTGGTGTAGGGTTAGACCTAAAGTTGCAAAAAAAAACGTTTTTCATGCAAATATAAAATTGCAAAAAAAAATTTTTTTTTAGAAAAAAAGGTTTTTTTTTGCAAAGAAAAACTATATAGCTTCTTTAGCCTCGGAAAAATGAATACAGTTAAAAATTAAAAAAATTATTTGCTTTTAACAGATAAATATAAGAAAAAAACAAATAAATCTATATAGATGATCTATATAAATGTATTATAGGGTTGAGCTTTTAGTTTTATACAAAGCAAGGAATTTTCTAAATAAACATACATTGCCTAAACTATATTATTAACTAATTCATTGTTGCATTAACTATGTGAATATATGGGAGTACAAAAGGTCTTTGAAACAGTGGCAGAATTAGGATTAAATTTGATTGTTTTGTTTTTTCCATCACCAATAGAGCTTCAATGATACTTAAGTTTTAAAAAATTGTTCCTACTGAACATTTGCTTCACTTATGAAGTTCAGTTGGCTTTTCAGGATATTTTGTATGTCCTCAAATTTGAGAAAAAAAAGTTACAATTTTGATGAGGAAAATGTCCATGAGGTATCAAATGACAATGATAGTGAAAAAAGCAATGATGAATCTGAAAGTAAAGAAATATTTAGACTTGTCAATCGTGAAATAAATAAAAGCATTCCTCTATCTAATGGTTAAATTCATTTCCAACCTGGTATCAACAAAATTCAAATTGCCAAGTTGTTTCAGAAATCTCCAGTAAAAAATGAGGTGCTTCTTGAAGAAGTTAAAAAACATCACCATAAAAAAACTGCTCTTACTTTATAGAATTAAATATGATAAAAAAAATTATTGGCAGTAGTTAAGCAGTTTATCAATAAAAAAAAAAAAAAGGAATTATTATGGTTTTAAATTGGAGTTGTAGTGGCCAACTCTTCTTTAATGCGTTGGATATTTTGACTAATATTTTTGATGCTCTTGAACCAGTTAAAATAACAGCAGTAGCACTTTGCAGGAAAAAATGACACTCTTTGAACTGTAGAAGGAATTTTCAAGTTTTCTGATAAATAAACAGAAAATTTTTGAAAGATGCAATTATACAGCAACTTTTCATAAAAAAACAAAGCAATTTGGTTAGTGTGTACATAGTTTTGTTTAATCCAGACTAGCTTTTTGTGATTGAAGTTCATGAAATTTTTAACATGCCATCAAAAACTGTTCTTGCAAAAATTGCCAAACCCATAATTTCAAAGCTTTTACCACAAAAGGCGTTAAAATATTTGTTTAGAGTGTAGTAAAAGATATAAAAGACAATAAAAAACAGTTTTCTTTCCAAGAAGAGTTTTTAGAAAGAAAAGGAGCCCTTCAGAAAACAACTAGAGACACAACACAAATGATAAAATTAAAGATATTGCAAAAGAAATATTCTTTGAAACAACTAAGAAAAGAAATGCAAATCTTGTTCAACTCTCTTAAAACAATTCCTCCAACCAGTGTCGAGTTGGAGCAAGTATATTCAGCTGTTGGACAATTTCAATTAAAAATGAGTGATGATCTGCTTGATACTTTGCGTTTCCTAAAAAAAATTTTTGTTGAAAAATCATTTAAATAACACTTTTTAGTCTTTAATTTAAAGGGTGTTCAAATTTAAATTATCTTATTATTTTTTTGATAAGACACTTTTTTTTTTTTTGAAAAAGCAGATATTTTTATTGAATATTAACATTGACACATCACAGTTAATGAAAATTTATGTCAGATAAGTGACCATCTTGCATCTTGCAGCTCTAACCGCCACCATCTTTTAGTAAAATTTACGAACATATGATGACATGATTGTGGTCCAAATTGAGTAATTTGCTCAATAATGTTTACTTTTAGATGTTGAATGGTTTGAGGATTATAAACATAAACTTTGCTTTTCAAAAAACTCCATAAAAAGAAACCTAATGGTGCTAGATCTTGGTGGCCTGTTAACAGTTTCTCTTCAAGACATTATTTGATTAAAAAATTTGATCGAATAATGATTGATTTCTGTATGACATATTGCACCATCCTGTTGAAAACACATATTCTGCACATCAATATACTAATATTTGTCAAACAAAGTTACTAATCATTGTTCCAGTGTGTCCAGTTTTATTTTCAAAGAAATACAGACCAATCAATAGACCAGACCATAAACCACACCAAACAGTTATTTTTGTGGATGCAAATGTTGTTTTTTTAATACCAATACTACTCGTGGATTTTCTTCACACCAGATTTGACAGTTTTTTTATGCAAAATATTGAATAAAGTGGTTTGTTTTATGCCCAATTGCTATAAACAATGATGAATTGATGTGTTTGGCTCTTCACTAACACTTTACCAGACAGTAGCAATATTTTTTAAGGAACAACCACTTTGACTAAAATTTTTTTTTTTTTATGTTTATCTTGAATTAAACTAGTTACCTCAAATTTATTCAAAATATTTCGAATGGTAGGAAAAGTTCTTCTCTATGTTTTTTAAAAAATTTTCTACCAACTTCTATATAATTTTCGCTAAACTTAGACGCGTTGTTTAATTGTATATTTCTCCATCACTACTAACTGCAATGCTAATACTTGACAGTTGTCAATAAACAGAAACCATTTTAGTACAAAAACTACAAATGGCATAAATTTAAAAAAGTTAATTTAAAATCAAACACCATGCATTATAAATAGTAGACATACATTATAAGATTGATTTATAATTTTTTATTTAAGATTGACATTTTAGTACAAAAACTACAAAAAAACTACAAAACTACAAACATTTTAGTACAAAAACTACAAATGGCATAAATTTAAAAAAGTTAATTTAAAATCAAACACCATGCATTATAAACAGTAGACATACATTATAAGATTGATTTATAATTTTTTATTTAAGATTGATTATGGATTCATCATTGATTACAATGATGAATCAATAATCAATTTTAAATATAAAATAATATATTTTGATTCCCCTACAATCTCAATGTTGGGGAATCAAAATATATTAAAAGATTTTTTTTAACTTTTTCACCACTTTTTAACAAATTACTGACAAACTCCCTTTTACAGATTTTTTTTTATTTACAGATTTACCGTTGAATAAAAAATTGTATAAAAGTTCAACCCTAATACACAACATTTTATAACTTTTACAATTATAAAATATAATTAATACATTTTATGGTTAAACAGACTATATACATAATATACATATAAACATATATACAGATAAAAAATATATATTCATATACAGATATAGACTATATATATAATATACATACTTATATACAGGTAAAACTTACAGCATTAATATTGTCATAACAAGTAATAACAAAGACATAATAGTGCACTTTGCATATTTTTTTGATTCTTTCTCTGATTGAAACATTGCACCCCCACATTTGTTACAGCAACATCGACAGCAACAAAAACAAAAACCAATAATTGGCATCAATATCACAAACAAAAGACCAAATCCAAGTGCAACAAAGATTGGTGTTTCATATTTGAGAATCTAAATATAGCTTGTCAATAAACTAATCTAAAATACACCATGCAGCAACATGGAAAAATGTTATTAAATAAATAAAACTTCATTTAAATTTCAATCAGTATGACATCAAAAATTATTTTTTCAAACTAAATTTTTCTTTTAATGCTTGAAACAATAAAAACATGAAGAAAAAAAACAAACCTTGGCCTTGTTATCATCTTTTGATAATTCTTTTAAGTTAACTAAATAATATACAAATATATTTTTTAAATCAATAAATGTAAAGAATTCCATTACAATTATTTTTTAAAAATTCAAAATTAAAGTATAATTGAGAGACAAATTAAATAAAAATAGAAATGTGCAAAAAAAAAGTTTTAAATCACTATTTAAAAAAACTTTTTAATGAAATCTAAAGTTAACAAAAGTCTCCTGAAATAAAATTAAATATATATATATATATATATATATATATATATATATATATATATATATATATATATATATATATATATATATATATATATATATATATATATATAAAATTATGATGACATAAATGTTATATAAAACTATGATGACATAAATGTTTTGTTTAGAATATTTATGCACAAATAAATAGTCTTTAACAAAAACTCAAAGCTATTTGGAATAATTGTAAGCCATCTTCTACTGTATAAATAATTTACAAATGTTGATATCATACTGATAGATAGAATAATAAACATATATCCAATTTTACATCATGGTATCATGGTACATCATGTATGGTATGTGGAGCTAATAAAATTAAATTAGACACCAAAATGGAAAATTTTTCAAACTTTGGGTTATCTATACTTCTTATTAGAATTATAGGCTTTAGACACTTTTTATACAATATATTAATGACTTGGCAAAACTTTAACAATGAAAATATAGAAAAAAAATTATATAAAGTTTTCAAAAAAAAAATACCTGCCAACGTTAATATTCTTAAAGAAAGATTTTTTTGAAACAATATTTTTATAACTTTTACATGACACCATTAATAAGTTTAACTCATTCATATTTTCATTAAAAGTTAATTATCAGAAGTAGAAGAAAATAAAGAAAAAAGAAGTCACAAACAAAAACATAAATAAATTCTGAAATAATTTTTATTTTAGAGTAAGAAAAACTACAATTGTAATAGAAATATACTTTTTTTTTTTACTCAAAAGCAGTAGCAGTGTAGTTGTAGAACTTGCTTGGTAGGCAAGAGGTGAATTTATTAAACAGTACTATAAAGACTATGAATATAATTCAAATATAAAATGAAAATGTTTAAAGTCAATTTTAGTAAGAAACTAACAAATATGATCCATTTGAATAGGTGAAAAGGATTAAGTGTTTTAAAGTTCCTGAACTCCAATCACAGTGGTTTTTTGCAAGACATTTTTCAAAACACTACAAAAGTAGTATTCAAAAGTGTTATAAATGGAGTACAACAACACTTGAACAAATAATGAAATTTTTAATTTTTCAAAAGATGAGGACGCTCATAAACTTTTGCCATCATGTCAATTTTATGAACACAATGTCATAATCCATGATTATGACATTGTGTTCATTTTTATTGGAATGAAGCAAGTATCATTCATAATTGGTAAACTTATTAATAACTTAAAAAACTTATTAAAAATGAAACTCATTTCTTGAACTTTAAAGTATTTAATGGTCATTAAATATTTTATTGTTTAACACTTGATAAGTTAAATGGAAATAAAGAAGATAAAAATGATAAAAATATTACTTACTAAGTAGACATTTTTTTTATTCAATAGCATCAAAATATTTTAGAACCAATAATACCATAAAAATTTTTAAAAACTAAACCAAAAGATTAAACGCTTACCACCTTGAAATTGTTCACTTATTGATTTAGGTTGAACTGTATTCATAAAAGAATTTGCTAAATTAAAAAAAGCTTGCAGTCCTTTAGCATCGTAGGATGTTGAAATTTTTGAAGGTAGCAATCGTGAAGAAATATTTTCAAATGTAGCTTGATTATTAGTACTATCTATCACTGGAGGTTTGCGGCAAGAAGTCGTTAAAACTATATCTATTAGTAGAGAACAAAATAACAACACATACAGCATCAAGCTGTAGACTAATTTCATGTCGCCAACTATTTACCTATTTCATGAGATAATAACTAGTTCAATAATATTGAAGATATGACAGCTAAAATGAAGGAATAATAATACTCAAACTTGAAAAAGTCTTTTCACTTTCACTTTTGAATTAATGCCTTTAAATAGATAAATGTTGTCGTCATGTTATGTTACTCATTATTCCGAAAAAAGTATCGTTTGATCAATTTAATTGCTGAATGACCGAAATTAAAACGGAATAAATCAATTTTACGAAGGATATTAATTTTTTTTGTTTTTTTTTAGCTTGTCGTCATCGTAAAAGTTGTCATTGTAATTTAACGATTGAGATTTTTAAAAAAGATCTTAAATTTGAAATTTCAAAACCCGTTGGAGCAGATATCGCAAATCAAACTCTGAATTTTAAAATTCAACAAAATTATATTTTTAAACTTTGGAACAAAACTTTAAAAGATCTCTTTATGAACTTAAATTTTTTTAATTTAATAAAGCGAAACAAGTACTTGGTTCACAGATACAATGGAATTTTATGATTTGCTTCTAATTTAAATTTACTTTTTATATGATTGATGGCTATCAGACCCGTTGCTAGGCTACTCCACACACACTGATTGGGTGGGAGCAAATTTAAGGCGCCCATTTGCAAACTTGACGCCCTGTTTTTTTTTAGTTTTTTTTTAGTTTTTTTTTGTTTTGTTTTTGGGGGGGTGGGAGGAAATATTTAGCGAAAGTTTTTTAAGAAATTGGGACTTAATGAAAAATGACTGGATTTGAGGAAAAGGGGGCTCTGAGTGCAGATTCACAACTCTTTCGTAAGTCCAAAATTTGCGTAAAGTTCGCGTAAGTTTTGCTTAAGTTCAAAGTAACGCTAAGTCATATTCACAAACCTTGCGTTAGCAAAAACTTACAAAATTTTTAAGTTTTTACGTAAGTTATTACTTAAAAAAAAGTACGTTATTACGCAAAAGTCTAAAAAACGGTATTCACAACATTTTCCTAAAAAATGCTCAGCAAACTTTACGCAAGAAAAGTTACGTCTGCTGTTTTCTGACTTAAGTTTGGCGTAACTTTAAATCATCTAATAATATTATAAAATGGCGTTTTATTATTGTAAAAGATTTCTGATTTTATTTGTTATTGCCTATAAAATATAATTTTATACTGCTATACGTTGAGTTATTTTTTTAAATAATACAACTACAACTTTTTTTTTTAACAGCAACAACAATACTATTTTAGTTGCTGTTAAAAAACAAGTTTTATAAAACAAGTTTATGTAGTAAATCTACATTTTTGGTAAATATATTGCTATTGTCAATAGGAATATATTTAACAAAAATATAGATGTACTACATAAACTTGTTTTATAAAACTTGTTTTCACCTTAAATTTAAGGTTAAAAAAATATACACGTAGGGTGTTTAGGCTATTTTTATAGCCAACATAAATTTTGTTTATGTTAACTATATTGCATTCCTTAAGATATTTCATTTCCAAAATGGTTTCAACCACATCTTTAGCTTATTTAGTTCCAAAGATATGGATATTTTAATATTTTCAATACTCGGACTTTTGAAGAAATATTTTCATCAAGTATCGCGTTAATTTTTTGGCACCGAAATTTTTTTTTTTTTTTTTTTTTTGCGCGTAAAATTTATCTGCAATAACAAATTTTTTCTAAAATTCGTTCAGAAATAAGATTATGAATCTTTATTATTTTAACAATTTATTAAAATAATTTTTTTCGGTGTTTTGCAAACACGGACCATTAACTGATCAATTAACAGTAAAAAAATTTTTTTTTAATTTTTGAAGATTTTAAACAATAAAACAATTAATGTTTAAATATTTAAAAAGTTATTTGAAAAAAAATATTCAATAAAACTAAATTGAACTAATTTTTATTTGAATTTTTTTTCAATGCCTTATTAAGTGAAAAACTCAGATCCAAACACCAAAATACCTATAGATAACATATTATCTAAAATTTATTTTAACATAAAAAGAAGTTGTCGGCAATAAAAAGTTTTCATATATAAATAAATATATATATATATATATATATATATATATATATATATATATATATATATATATATATATATATATATATATATATATATATACACACACAAATGTAATTCTGACTGACATGCAGTACTTATTTCTACATTTTCTTGTCTTGTTTAAATGTTTAAACAAAGTTTGCCTTGGCTATTTCGTTCATAAGTTAGATGTAAACACTTATCTAACTTACTTAACGAAGTGCACCAGCGAGAAGGTAAGCCATAGGACTTTTCACTCCATCTGTAAGCTGTCATGTTGCCTAAGGTTAACCCAATTTTGGATTCTTTACTTTACTTTATAGGCAGTTAATGAAAAGTAATAGTAACTTAGCCTAGGGATAGCCCTCCGTTTCTGGATTCTTTTCTTTTTATATTTTAACTTTTTTTTATATCTATAATTTTTTATATCTATAACATGTAGTTTAGCATAACCCATAAAGATAAAAAATATTGATAAATAATATAAAAATATCCTTTAATTAAACAAAATTGGTACATGTAAACACATAAAATATAATTAATACCATCGAAAAAGATAAAAATCACTCAAATGCAATAAAAACAGATTATTAAAACATATTTTTATTGATTTTACTAATAAAGGAAATAATATAAGTTTAAATTATAACATAAAATTATATTTAATAAAAAAAACCTCATGGTCCTCGCTACAAAGAATATGATTACTTTTTTCAAAATCAATTAATAAAAGAAATGATTGTAGTTCACCAGGTTTATTATCATACTTAACATAGAATGTGGTTTATTTCCACTTATTTGATCAGTTTGTACTACTTGTGCACATTCCAAAGATACCTTAAGATAATTTTTTTTTGCTAACACAGTGTTGAAAATATTACCTACAAAATCAGATGGATTATTAAAAATTTTTGATAAAGAATGTTTTTTTTTTTGTCGCTTTATTAATTTGTTTAGTCTTGTATCCTGAATTTTTACCATCAATTCTTTTTTTGTTTTTAACAGCCACATAACGTAAATAGGTTTAAAATTATTACTCAAATTACTTAAAGATTGTTTGACATTAAATTTGCTCTAAAGGCAGTAGTAAGAGTAGTCAAATTTCTTCTTTTGGTTCTTCTAACTTCTTCTTTGAAAAAAGTTTTTTTTGTCAGGAGATGACAAAATAAAAATTAAGTTGAGCAAGAAGTACTTTTAATTTTTAAGATTCTTCTATATTACAAATTTTTCTACAGCTTTTTCCAATGAAACCCATGCTTTTATATTTAAACTTATTAAGTTATTAAAAGCTTAATTTTTTTTTGTTATAGTTAAATTTTTGCCCTATTTTTTCCTTTATACTTTACTTAGACACAAAGCTTTATCCTTTTTGAGAACTGCTTTTTTTTAACCATATTTGTTTTTTATCATTGGTTTTTGAACAATCAAGTAATTCTTTTCTTACTTCATCAGTTTTATTATTTAGGCATTCTTATCTTTGATTCTGAGACCAAATTGTCGAAGCCTAGAAAGTTTGAATATTTGCATTTGGTTTTATGCGTACCATTAAATTACAATGCCAACTTGCTATTTTTGCAATGCAAAAATGCTTTAACTTTCTGATGTTATCAATTAGTTGAGTTATCTTTATAGCTAATGATTTTTTACAGCAAAGCAGTTGAACATTACACAAAACATAGAATATACAGCATTGTATGAGATATCTTTCAATGTTTAAAATCCAATAATAAACTTCTTTATTAAGCATTTTATCTAAATAAATATACAATTTTCCAGAAGTCAAGCCAAATAAATATATAAATTTAAAACAGTTAATTACATTAACTGTTTTAAATTTATAAATTTTAAACAGTTAATGTAAATTATGTAATACAATTACATTCTAATTTTCAAAATTTAATAACAGTTTAGTTGTTTATATATCAAAACAATATAAATATTTTTTAAATAAAATACATAATGTTATATATGCAATTTACAGTGTAACTTACAAAATGATAAAACTTACTGACAAATTTCCCGATGATTTAATTAAATTTAAAATGAAATTTACATTTGTACACAATACTATGTAACTACAAAACTTTCAATGAGTATCTTTTATTGAAAGACACTCATTGAAAGTTTCAAGGATGTTGTATAAAAAACAATGAAGTACAAGATTATTTTATAAGAAATGCAAATAATTATCACTTAAAAACCAGAACAAGGAAAGCGGACTAAAGTCTATCTTTTGCAATGGGATAAAGTTTTACAACAAATTGCCAAATGAATTTAAATCTCTTGACATGAAGTGATTCAAGAATCAAGTCATGAAGCTTTTAAAAGAAAAAGGATGTTTTTAAAAAAAGACAAAGTGTTATGTACTAATGCACATATCTTTGAGTGCGCTAACTAACGTTAGTAAAACGGGGGCAATTTTACAAATCACCAGTTAAAAACAAAAAACCCACTATGTTAACTTATGGTTGTATCTTACTATACTATCTATACTATACAAAAATATATACAATAATATTATTGAAGCATATATTTTAACTTGCATAACTAACATAAAGCGAGAGAGAGTCTCACTTTGTGTGCAAGAGAGGGGAAATATGTGTGCCAATATAGATACAATATTCACAAAAATATGCAATTTATTCATTAGTTTTTTAAATATCTTTTTTTTTTTTTTTTATAAATGAGAACAAGGCTATTTCAAAACAAAATAATGTTAAAATTATCTCTGAGTAATCAGGCTATTGATAAAACAAAGTATTATTACCTAAATATTAAACTTACTTTGAAAAATGATGTTTTTTCAATAACTTTAGTTATCCAGAGGTATTAAAAATATTAAGATTATTTGCAATAATAGCTCTGTTGTTAGTTATTTCAGTTATCAAGAGATATTAATATCTATGGATAATTTAAACTATTAAAAAAAGAGCAATATTTTTCAAAGACTAATTTCTTGATAAATAATATTGTTTATTTGCAATTAGTAAACATATAGATAGTTTAAATTGTTTTGGTAGATCTTTTATTTCGTATTTCTATATAAAATCTCATTGTTGGAGCTTATTATTGCAAAGAGCAGGAATTCCATAAAAAACTCCTTAATATAACAGTTAGTCCAAATGGAATGCTTTTCACAAATCAGTAGAATTGTTATCTGTTGCTTTCTCAATCAGAAATATCACTGAACAAAACAGGAAGCCATTTTGCTTATTTGGCTTGAGTTATCTTATATAAGCTCAGGATAATATAAT